TTTTGATAGAGATTCTTATGGTATGCATCTCTTGGCGGATCGCCACTGCGACTCCGCATCCTTCCCTTGTAAGAAGTCTCATCAACGATAAAATCAACTGCGCAGCTTCCAGTTTTTACTACCAGCAAAGTACATTAAAAACGCGGCAAAAACCCATAATGAAATTGGTCGCTCAGATCCTCTTATAGCTTTCTGCTCTTCTTTCTTCCATTCGATATAGTCTCTTACATAACATCGACAACTGCGCAATTTTAAAAAAGCAGCAAGTTGAAGACATTCAAAGGAGCTTAAATCTAACGGTAAAAATTCCCGTACGGAGTGATAGCATCCGGATACGTTTAATTGTGTTCAACTCACAAATTTAATTTTATGTAAAAAGACGGTTTTAGAATCAACTCGTTAGAGTAATATGCACGAAAAGGAAGGGAAACAAATAAAATGAATGGAGAATGTATGAAAAAAGTATGGCATTCTTGCTATATTTTCCATTGATTACTGTTTGAAAAAAAATAACAGTTTTCCCACTGACTGTTGTTTTGAGCCAAAAAAGGATTTGCTTGTTTCCCATCACCTTTTGAGCAGTGCCTGAAACTATATTTTGTTAACCGGTTGGACTATAGAACCTATGTTTTAGAATGGAATGCTTACTTCGAATCTGTGCACCAGTTGCGGATGTTTTCCGTAAAATAACAAAAATTTCCTTTGCTGCCGAGGCAACGTATACATAAGATTAATGTTTAAATAGAACTTTTATTCCAAAAAACATGTGACTTTCTTTATATTTTGGAAATGAATATTTCAAAAAAAATTTTGATAGATAATAAAACCAATATTAGCATGTGAAAACAATTGATGTCTCTCATGGCAACCTTTCACAGATTTGGAGTGTGGATTTGAAATCAGCATTTCGCTGCTCGTAATAATGTGCACGGTCAAGCGGATAAAACATCCACAAGCTCAACAAGGTGATGAGATATTGGCTATATTCTATACAAACTCAATTTCATTCATGACGAAATGCCTTTTTTTAACTGTATTTTCTAGTTTTCCACTAAGTTCCGCCATCATTATCCTCACGTGAAATCACTGTGTTGTCTTTTGGAAGAAGATTCGATACACGGAAGAGTTTAAGTTTTGCCTCAGAATATTGTGCAGGACTGTAAAAAGATATATGCGTGTTTATTGCCGCAGAGATACTGAGTTCAGCTTCAAAATCTGGTTTTCAATGATTCAATCTTCAGATAGTTTTCAGTATATAGGTAATTGCTTGCTGTGCGCTATCTTAATAAGCAGTAATATAAACTTTAGCACAAACGTTCTTTTCAAAATAACGTTGCCATGTTGCTTGCTGAATAGTTTAATTGTTGCTTTTACCCTTGAAGAGACCAACTAAAAATACCTTTATAGGGTGATTGAGGAAGGGTTGAATATTCTCGTAGCGAGAGTTGAGCGCGTTGGATGCGCAGGTGGCAGAGACCATCGCTACATCCAAGCACATTCGCTGGTGCTCTTCTTCTGTTTGTACTTTTTCACATTCTGCGCTCTGTATTTTTCTTTCCCGTGCTTTTTCCAAGGTAGGTTTGCTTAGGTTTTGATGATTAAGTTTCAATCAACACATTTACAGTGTTAGTTCTGCGGTTAATTCGCCTGCTCCTGCCATTGCTTTCGTAATTTCCACTGATCCAAAAAAGGTACTTGGCTGTGCTCTTCGATCGACATTAAGAAGGTTTTCTTTTAGACACTGCTCTGCGAAAGAACTTGGTTAAAGCGCTTGTCGAGCTATATAACTTTCACATCGCGTAGGAGTAGCGCTCGTCAACCTCGTCAGGTATATCTACCTCATAGATCAGGGTCGCTCTGGTCTTCATTCAGGTAAAGATGAAGCATTCGAATTTGACAAATTTTGGAAATCAAAGTTCATTTGCGATTTTTAGTTCAAAGGCTTTATTCGCCGAATTTTATGTTCCTCACCATTATTCTTGGTACATTATGACATCTGATGACTCTTATGTGCTCGTGGACGATCTAATGCAGGTACTGTACACTTCAGATTTATTTGTATCAAAATTCCTAATTAAGGAACTAGCTGCATTTGACTCGGACGAACCTTACCTTGCCGTAATTGGACCAAGTGACATGCAAAAGGTTGTTTGTCCTTAATTCAGACTGTCATGCAATAATGAAACATATTACACAGTGTTGACAGTTTCTCTTTGATTTTTTCCTTTTGATCACTCGCAAATGTGCATACAAAATGTTCATAAAATGACTTTTCATAGTGAGTGTCATCACTATGTTTTACCGGCATCGAAATTCAAAGTGATGAACTTTAATCTTAGTTTTATTTCTGTTGATTTGAAATGAAATAATCCAGACGTTTTCACTTATCCAGACATCTAAACAATTACACTCGCTAATTGTGACATCAAGAGGAGCCATGATAACCCTGTGGGATAACCTTCACAGTAGACGAAACGGATGTGGAGTTACGAGCTCACCAGAACTATGTCTTGATGATATCGTGCAACTGAATCTCAGAGAAGACGCTCATGGGAAGTTCAGGTATTGATGTGATGTTGAAAAACTAGAAAAGCATATTGTATTAAGCGTCTTGCTTTTGTTAACTTTTCATTTCCAGGTTTTTTGTACTGCAAAGGCACTTCTCGAAGTTTGAAATGAGTCAATACACCTATCTTAATGGACACTATAACGACGGACTGCAGGTTGATTTAAGAAGCTGCTTTTAACTGTCATAAGAAATTATGTCTTCTTCATAGAAGACTATCGTTATTCGCACAGAATTTCGGTTTTTCTATTATTTATTTTTCTGCGCTATATAGGTGTATATAAAATAAGTCAATTAATTTACAAATAATTTCAAGTCATTGAAATGTATGATAACGAAAAGGAGTCCTTCCTCATTTCTTTCCGAAAAAATCAACATTTCTTACAGTATAATATTAATAGATATAATGAAAATTTAGCAGTGTAATATATAGTAGCATGATAATATAATGGATATTTAGGTATCTAACAGGCTGATTATGATGATTTTTTCTTTGCATAACAATCTCGTTTTTGCCTTACTTTGTATAAACAATGCAAAGATTGAAATCACAGATATGACTGGAAAATGGTCCAGTGGGCTTATTTGACAAAGTGGTCACGAGTATAATATCTGCAAGGTTCTTACCGCAGTACACTCAGGACTTCACGCAAATTTGTTAGAGTGACTTTCCGCTGTTTATATACCGCGTGCCTATTGAATAGCAGAGAGGAAAAGGATCAAAAAAGTATCCAAGAAATGATTACCAATACATTAGATTGTAGTATAAGCTTGTGCTTTTTCTCTTCTTTTCAAACAAAAGTTTTTGGAAATCCGGAAGTTTTGGTAAAACTTTGTAAATCATCTAAAAATGAAGGGAAAACTCAACTACCAGAAGGTACACTCGGCTTATCAACTGAACTCAGCTTTGTCGAATTAGATTAGATGGAAGGTTTAGATAACTGAATAGCTCAACAGACAACTCAATTCTGGGATTCATAAAGCTTGAAAAGTGCTGCATGCTACCTTGGAGTAATCGGATATGTTGATTAGGGAAATCTTATCCATTTCTTACGATAGCGTCCTATTGTATAGTCAAAACCACGGATTTGTCGAAAAAGTGGGCGGGGGG